TGTCGGCTTACATTCTCTAAGCTAAATTTTTAGGTTCTAGTGAGGCATATGATAATCAAGGTAGTCTTTCGTTAGGTTTTATATATGTTACATGTGTTCTGTGCTACGCAATGCAAGTTATTAGTAAATCATGATCGCTTTGTAATTTGCATTGTTTTAGCTAACAGCTTTAGGTTTTGTACACAAAAACATACTAATTGGTGGAAATTGAAAGATACGCGTTAATTGTTATTTATGCAATATTAACAGTCATTACACTATGAATAATTATGTTTTTGAATCAGTTCCCGATAAAGTTCCTTTTATTAATTTTTTTATTTAATGTGTGAAACATGTCGGATTGTCAAATATCAACTGTGGTGTGGTTGGTGCAAACATCTAGACTATATATAATAAAAATGATCATACATATAAGTTCGACATGAGTAAAGCGGGCATCACATGGCTCATTTGCGATCTATTAAGTTGGGGGGGGGGCGATTATCAATATCATTTGCTATGACAGTCATCCGTCTACTTATATATGCAAGCTTTTTTCCAACTTTTTCAACAGTAATAGCACTTATCTTTTGTCCAACGAGAAAAATCCACTTTGGTGTAAATAATAAGCAAATATACCCAATGTATCATTTTCTCATGTTTGAAAATTTCCACTTCTAGGAAGCGGCAAGCAGTGTAGGTCGTAGCAGTTTCACTCGTGTTCTAGAAGAGATACCGGTTGTGATTCATAATTCACATCTCGTAAACATCCTTTTGACTGAAATCGTTGATAATCAAGAACTGTCGCGATCGGAGCTTTCTACAAATTCATCAATGCTAGATCTGGCCCCACCGCTTCCAAAAGACCATCCTGGTCGTTATTCTACTCTCAATTTAAGCATGGCCTCTAGTTTGGAACAACAACTACGTTCTCTTCTTGCGGGTTTAGAAACAGTACATGATTACCAGTATTCATATCAGCGTAGTCTATCAAAATCTCAAACTACGGTAGCTGGCAAGGTAAATCAATAAAATTTATTATTTATTTAGTACCTTCATCAAATTATATGATAGTGAAATACTATAAGGGAAAGCGAATTGTTTGATCCTAAGTGGCTAATTTTTGGCAATTATTTAGCCTGCTGGCTGGTCGCTCACGATAAATCGTTACTTAGTTACACATCAGTACTCTTAGTGATATAATTTTTGCTATGGTTGATGTTTGGAACTAAACAAAGCAAGCTTTGAATGCATTACAATTTCCAACATTAAGCCTGCCTTATTACTGATAATGAAGATATTCATCTTCATAGTACAATGGCTAGAAGGATAACAAAGTATGTGATCACAACATACCGTGAGCGACGCTTCATGTGGAAATCATCTATACTGTTCAGTAATTTAAACCAATATGCTAAGGCCAGCATTATTGCGATATGCTATGTATTCGATTTTAATGATCACAGTTATTCATCAACTTTACATCTGATGCCACCGATTTGCGAACATTATTTGGAGTCATCCTCTTATTGTAGATGATTATTGTTCAATTATGTATTGTTCAGTCACCATTTTCCGTCCCTGCATTGTTTGTAGATTTTATTTGTATAATACTGCTTGTTTATGTTTGTTTTGATAATCTTCTCTTTTCGATAATGCAATAAGACGAAGATTATCAGAACTATGTAATATATTAACGCAATACATTTCGAACAATCTGGCTGATGACTTAATCGAAAACATGTCACTTTATAAGAGATATGTGGACGATATCTTAGTTTTTTGTGAAAGAAATAAGGATATGTACTGTTTATTGAACAAATTTAATACTCCAAAACCATATCAGTCTTATGTGAAGAGGAGAAGAGAACAACCAGCTTCCCTTCCTAGATATACATGTGAGCAGACGAGAAGATGGCTCAGTCAAACGGTCCATTTTTAGGAAACCAATGTGGACAGGTCAATACCTTAGTTATTATAGTTATTGCCCTGTGCAATAAAAACGTGGTTTGATAAGGTGCCTATTCAACAGGCTTGATCGTATTTGTACAAATGACGTCATTGATGATGGTATTAAGTTGTTAAATAAAACAATGAAAAATGGCTATCCTGTGAGATTCATAAATAGATAGAAAATCCGTGGTACAGTGAGACCTACTGTAGCCTTGGTAGAAAAAAAGCCTGTCTACATCATCTTACGATTCAGAGATGATTCAAATAGCCTTTTATTGAAACAAAAGCTTAAATCAATCATTAACAAAACGTATCGCGCAGCAAAGATCATTATCAAAGAAAGAACAAGGCTCATGCTTCATCCAAAACCTGAAAGACACGGAAACGATTGTGTTATCGCACAGTGTTTACCACTTTAAATGTGTGTGGTCACACATACATAGGGAGGAGCAATCGTGATCTCAAAATTGGGGTGGGTGAACATGTACCAAAATGGTTGCAGTAACAAACAGAATCAAGTGACCCAATAAAAGCAGAGGATAAACATCCATCATCATCTATCGCTAAACATATAATCGAAACAGGCCATAAGATTGATCTTAACATGGCCTTTGTGGTGTTATACAAAAGTGTAAAAGGGCGTATTCTAAGGTTTATTGAAGCCTTAGCCATACGAAAATTCAAACCCCCTTTGTGTGTTCAGAAACAGTTTGTTCTCACTTCAAACCTACCCTGGTAATATTGGTTTATTATCCGGAGTGTTCATATTATTATTATTATTATTATTATTATTATTATTATTATTATTATTATTATTGTTATTATTATTATTATTGTTATTATTATTATTATTATTATTATTATTATTATTATTATTATTATTATTATTATTATTATTATTATTATTATTATTATTATTATTATTGTCTCCTCTTACCCCATTTCCAGTGTAGTTGACCTTTTATTTTTATATATAAATGTTCTTAACAAGTATATGTGTGATCAGATTGTTCGAAATGTATTGCGTTAATATGTCACATAGTTCTGATAATCGTCGTCTTTTTATTAGATTATCAAAATTTATCAAAGGGACTAGTTGCTTTAAAAAAATTTTTCTTTGTTTTGCACAAGACTGCAACTGAAACACGTAATCGGGAGTTGGCTCCAATCCGTCTGGACACTGCGTTGGTTTCAGCTCAGCTTGATTTCTACTGCAACAGTCTTGCTCAGATGGCAGGTCAAACAATAGGCAAATTGATGTTAACACAAGCTGTACAAAAAACAAGTTCATCCGGAGCTCCTAAATCTCAAAAAATTTAAACGATATAAAGGTCTAAATAACTTGTATAACATAATAAACAAAATGGTGTATGTTAATATTTGTTTCAATCTGTATAATTATTCCTCCTGTGATCTTGGTTAAAAGCCTTGCCATTTATTTCATTGATAGTTTTATGAGTTCGTTTCTAAATAGTCGGTCACGGTAACAAGAGTATTTCTTAAAAAGAGCGCCTCATTTTCATCCAACCAAAAAAGTAATTCGTTAAAATATGTTTCGAAATAAGGGTTCTTCTAGTCAGTCTAGTACTGCATATCTCAACAATCCCACAATTTAAGGGTTTGACTTGTTTAACATAAATATTACTAACAATCTAAATCATTAAGGCCTAGTTTTGTACTGTTTGTTAACATATCAAGGTTCATTCCAATATTTTTTCTTAATACCCATTGCTTAGATTATCATTCTCATACAGGTCTAACGTTGTACATCGTTCGTATTCTTATCTTAGTGTCGTCAAACTATTTTTCAGTGCGTAAGTCTATATTTCAATAAAGTAATTATTACAATTCAGGCATTATAAGTGCCGATTTGACAAGAAATTGTTTTAATTCCCCACCATAGTTCTACACATAGGCTTTATCCATGCATTATAAAATAAGTACCAATCAAACGATGAATCCATTAACACAATATTTTATTTATAGAAATAGTAGTGGAGTAATCTTAAGATGGATATAAATACAAATTCATTGGTGATTGTGTAATTATGGAAATTAAAAATGTGAGTCGTATCTGTTTGGTATTGGATGGCTGTTCCTCACTTAACTTTAAAGGGTGGTATTCGAGGTACAGTGAACTTGCCTAATTGTCCGTACAATACAACTAACCACGAAGCCGTTGAGCTGTTAAATGCACAGGCAGCGGGACTCCACAATTTATCTTTATTCCATATGTTGATTGTTGGTCGACTGTGAAGTGAATAGCGTAAACTTTATATATTGAATTGTCTTTAAAGCGTTTCTTAGACATTAATAGGTGTACTAACTCTGTATGATGCACTCTAATTCCATACCTTATTTTGTTCATATAAGCTAAATTTTCAGGTATACTTTACCATGTTAATGCTTAATAGAAGTGACCTGTATTGAATCATTAAAGTTTCTTTCTCAATATTGTGAACGGTGATAAATTTCTTTTCACTATTCTGCCAAAATAGAGGAAGCATTTTGTTCCTTCTTCCTTAAGTAAGTAAATACAAACTTGATATACACCCTTATTGTTCCTAGAATTTAAGAGTAATCTAGACTTATCTCTCGAACCTCAGACCTACATAGTCTATCATTTTAGACAATGACTTATATAGGTTGCGAAGACTTTTAACATAGACTACGATACATTATAATACCGATTGATTTGATTAAGCCGTCGTATTTCCGTAGTCTTGTACTACGGATCAGTATTGAAATATATCGAGAGTTGTTGTCCCTCATTAGATCATAGAAGAAATTAAAAGGCGAAAAATGTTTTCAAATGAATGTACATCTTGAAACTGAAAAATAATTGTCATAAATAAAATAATCAGAATCATAAAGTCCTAGATAGTAATGTTTATTGTTTTTTTGGCTAATAGAATAAACTGTGAAAATACGATTATCTCAGCTTCAAACAAACATTAGGTCTCCATCTGGATCATAGATTGGTTTATATTTATTGTAAAGATTTCGAAGTTCTTCTAGGTATAATTCTTTCAGCACTGATATTTGTTCTCTTGTTGGATTTGGGTTTTTTTCACACGGTATTGGCCGTCCAACTTTTTTATTTCGGTAAAAAAAAGACATTTAGAAAATCGGAATGACTATTTTTGTAGTTAAGAGACAAGAACCTAAACAATAATTTTGATTACCTTAGTTTATAGATTGTATTTGTACTATAAGTGGATTTTAACATCTTCTGGGTTACTAATCTGGTGTTCTATTGAAGACTAGTAGTTTTACAATCTATCAGATTGCTAACGGAATTCCAGTTTTGCTACATTCCAGTGAATGTACTTAACATGGTTTTCTTGTTAACGGTTAAGGTACATTGGCAAAATCTGACTGTACAGATAATAATTAAGTGCGTTTTAGATACTTGACTTTCCACAACAAACAGTAGCCATTATACCAGCTAGACAGTAGTTTTCCTTCTAGTTTCGTATTATTGGAAATATATGAGAATTCTGGGTGTAATTTCGAGACTCAAATTAAATTGTAAGATAGCCAACCAATCATTTTGGAAGCTTGTGGTCTGAAGTGAAAAAGACATGTGAATTGTGATAAGTATCGCTGGCTCTTGTTTCCAGTCCTTAATCAGATCTTAGCGACTTTGAAATGACAGTATTTAGAGACTGGACAACGGGTTGTGTTAGCATTTGCAGCTGTCCTATTTTAGAACGTCCAATTAAACCATTGGGCACATCTGTTGGTGAAATTTTCACTGGTTGTTCAATTTATCTGAGATAATTAGAATAGATTACTAATGATATTAAGTAAAATTTATTGTGACCACTGTATTATATTGGTTCATGACGTCGTAAATATTTTAAATGATATATTTGTTTAACTTACTGACTGTGTTTACATCTGTCCGATAAGGCAGAAAAAATCGAGCATAAAAGAAAGGAGGTGAGAATGTTGCCATTTTCGTAAATCGATTTTGGAAGTGTCTTATGCAACTCCCTTCAGGATTATACACTTGTTTAAACATATTCGGTTCACCAAACGATACACACGGTACCAAGTGCGACCTAAACCAAACCATAAGAATAAGACATTTAATTAGTTAACAAACAGTTTGGGGCTTTCAGACTAAGAAAATAATTAGGAGGTCTTTCCATTAATTGAACTTTAATTGTCTTCAATATCCTTTTACGTTAATCCTTAGTCAGTCACTCAGCTACAACGTAGGACCAGGCACATGTATGCATCGGTCCAAGTTGCCATACATCATTAGCACAATAAGATGAACATAAAATTCATAAAAGTAGTCACTTCAGTGGTAGTAATGTATAAAAGAATGCATATAAGGTTATAATGCAGGAAGAAAGAATTAGTTCGTAGAAAGAAATATATAAAGCGATTCTTATCTCACGGTGTAAGGGAGGACGAAGAGAGTACACACCGACGCCATTGTGATCGATTCTGAGTCATGTCACCAAGAGTCTCCAACCATTGGTTACGGTAGTCACGGGGACCCCAACCAAGTAGTCTGCATCTACCAACACAGCTCAGATTAGAAGTTAATGACTTCAAGGACTGATGCCTTGTTTTGGTTTGGCCACCCCTAACTTTCCTCCAACCATCCCAACATCAGTTAGTATTGCGCGTCGTGGTAATCGGTGTTCAGGCATACGTAATACGTGGCCCAACCATCTCAGTCGATGAAGATTCACAACCTCATCAACTGATTTACCATCATTCCCTAATACCCTGCGTCCAACCTCACCATTACTTACCCGGTGGGCCCAGCAGCTGCTGGCAATATTTCTAAGATATATGTGATCAATTACTAGCAACTTATGAGTATCTTCTACTCACAATGGCCATGTTTCGCAGCCATAAATTAGAGCAGAAACAGATTGCTGTGCTGTCCCTTAATTGATAGACGGATATCTCACCTTCGCCATAGGTGACATAAGTTGGCAGCTAAAGTCGGGGGATCTACTTCAATGTTCCGTTCAGGTTGTTTGGGAATGTTGAGTAGTTGTATAGTAGCTGAAGGCTAACTGAACTGTTCCTTAAAGTGTTCCGCCCATCGTTCTAAGCGTCTGGGCTGAGAGCAGATAAGGTTGCCGTCTTTTTCTGAGACTTTTTCACTTACACATGACTTCTTAATTCCATTTTTTTATTAGTCTGAGAAACTGTCTGGTATTACCTACAGCCGTTGCCTTTTCCATCTCTTTTGCTTCCGTTACATTAGTCCTAGTGAAGCTAGTGGCTGTTTTGCATCAAAGTCTAATTGAAAGTGTTTCGAAAATCATTTCCCTTTTGACTTATTACTCGATCACTGATGTCAAGTCTTATCCCTTGTAGTAAGTGGATTCCGTCAGTCAAGTTACACTAAACTAAGTGACTCTTTTGATACATTTTGATGTTAGATGGCTGTAAGAGGTATGAGTTGTTTGTTTTTTCTTATGGAAATATACTGTCCTTATTCATTGAACTGTTATTTCACCTGAATCAGAAAATACTACTGGATTGACTAATTTTCATTTGCCAAATTTTAAAGCTCTCGTAAATACTACAATTATGTTATAACCCATATCCTTCTAGATCCTCAAGTAACATATTTGAATTACGTTTAATATCGGCAATTTGTAAATTTAAGAAAATGATTCGATATCATTCTTACCCAGTCATTAATGCTAACTTAAAAAAGCCATATCGTCGGTTAGTGTGGAAGACATATTTCCCAGGACGTGAATCTAATGCTTCAGGAGCACCACCCAAAACGACGACAACGAAATTTCCTGTATTTCCACATTGTTGAGAATCAAGGAGATATGAAAGTCCTTTGTATGTTGCTGCTACAAGATCTGAATAATTAAAAAATAAATCAATATATTGGTTTATTTAACTAAATAACATCCATCATGTGGAAATTCAGTACAAAATAAAGTCCACTTTGAAGTCTTGGCAACTAAGGAAATGGAAGAGATAAATAAACCATTTAACTTTATCCGATATAACTCTCAACCGTAGAACAAAAAATGAATGATATTTTATTTGAACTTTCTTCGGATTCCTGTGGTTCAGCTCTTGAATAAATAAAGGTAACGAAGGACATTTAATCTACATTCATCTCACAGCAATGGCCAATTCCTTCGGCCAAATTGCGGTGATTAAGTTTTACTACTTAATAATTGAAGGTAGTATCCTAAATATGAAAAAAGTTATTGGGTTTTTATGTTTTCAATCAGGAAAATTATTTATTGTAAGCGATAATATCTAAGTTTAGCGAATGCTTTCGTATGATTCTCAAAGCGCGTTCTATGTATGGATATTGTACTGATGTTTTCATAACACTAAAGCTCTATACATAAACTTTCATTGAAATTTGAGAGTACGTTTTCATAAAAATTATTGAGAAAACAGACATAAAAATATATTGGTTATAATGTCAACAATTGGAATTTATGTAGCGTAAAAGTTTGGTCTGATTATCTTTTTCAATTAAGTAAAGTTTAAGGATGAAGCTTCAAAACAGACAATAAAGTTGTGTCTATGGAAGTAAATGTTGTAAGAGTTTGCTATAAATATGATGAGGACGCCTAGACAGCTGAAATTGATTGTGTAAGAATGCAGTTTTCGAAACATAATGAGAAAAAGATATCAAGTTAACGTCGGTATAAAAAATATTCTTCAGTAAGTATCTGTCACATAGATTGATGGCAAAACTGCTACAATATGAGAAAGTTCTAACAATCTGCATAGATGGGATGAAGGATAGTTGTCTTTTAAGGGGAGTTTTATTCCCTGGGTTGGGTGGTGTGGTGGAGCTTTCATTATTCTGAACAAAAGCAGCATAAATTTCAGGTAGAGGTGAAGTGTTCGTATTTCTCAACAAATGACTGACAGATTGTCCTGTCGACCTCGATCTTGTTATTTAGCTGACTGCTGTATCCACAAAGCATAAATATTTAAATATTTTATAATCGACTATCATCTACTCTTCACTGATACTTTGAAATTTACATCAATCACTTTAGTTTGAGCTTCAGCGGTAACATCAGTATATCCATATTAAGTGTGCGCATCTTCTTAAACATTGGTGCTTTTTTATTGAATAATACATTGATTATTATTTCCATTCTAATATTGTATTATTGCTAATAACGTCTAAGAAAAACCGAAATCTCTTTATAATTTGTAGATTTAGAAAAATATTAATCGAAATATAAATAGTCAATAATAACTCTAATGTTTATTTACCAAATGTGAACTTTTAGATCAAGTTTATACGATAAATGTATCCATATGTTCTATCCGATACTGTACTGTCACTTGATATTGAATACTGTGATATAAATACGTTTTATATATTGTTGATTAATGCACATCGAACAGTTTATTTTGGCAAAATGCAACTGAATGCTTAATCTGATAACATAAGAGCCGAACAAACGTAGTAACAAGTATATGAATCCTATTAATCAGCCTTTTGTCCGAATCTAGTCACCATTCTTGATTCCTTTGATATGTCGATTGTAACCAATGATGAACATAAATATTGCATGTTTGTTCTGCTACTTGATGATTTAAGCTAACTACTTAACAATCATTTTATGCTCTACAATTCCTTTTAAGTTTGAATACAGAACTTCACGTTTATGCGATAGTTATTGTTATATTTTTTTATAATGAGCTTATAACTTCACATACAGTTTGCTGACAATTATTACTTGGCTGAATCATATATCGCCTAGATTACTTACTTTAAATGAAAATAATGTACTTAAGTTCTAAAGTTCTCTAAATCACGTCCTACATTAACATTGTCAAAATAAATCGAAACGTGGAAGAAGTATACAAACATTTAGTTTATCACAGCTAGTTTCATTTCATTTTTATGGACTCTATTGAGTAGTATGTGACTATTTAAGTTACATATTATGCAATGAACATAATGGTACAAGCCAGATGTATAAATTATTCGGATAAATAACATACATTGTGGGTAAATTTTCTTAAAACTGAAGATGGTCATGATAGAAATGCTGTCAATCATAAATGAATTTACTCTATAGTTTTAGACTACTGAGAATTTATCGACTACTAAATTTCATTGGACAGATAAACTTTGAGCTGTCGTATTTCGTCATTTCATTTTGTTGATTATCATTTGTTTATGTATTGTTTCAAATTAATAATAACCCTTTTATACTGACAGATGAATATATATATTTGTATTACGTAATCCAGTATTATAATCTTTCTATTATATCATCTTGGTTGTTCCTTGTTCACATTTCCTCACGGAACTAGTACTTTATATATATATATATATATATATATATATATATATATATATATATATATATATATATATATATATATATATATATATATATATATACTAGACTTAATATGTTAGTAACGAATTATAATGTGAGTGTAGTAAGGTGATCAAAATGTTTGTTACATTAATTAAGGGTCATATAAGTGTAAAAAATGAATAAAGTGATATCATGAGCAATTTTGAATAAAATAGTGAGAATATGAGACATAAGTAAAGGGAGAAATGTAGTAATATTAATAATAAAGGTTAGGTTAACGATAACGATAGGATGTACCTCTTTTGTACGCATAGTTCAGGCTTGAGCTCGTGGATGCTAAGAGCTTCGTCTTTTTTTAGGAGTTGTATACGAAGAAATCTAGGTAGATTTGGTCGAATTGTTTATATAACCTTAAAATCAGACTGTCGATCAGTAGAATAATTACAGTCGATTAGATGTTCAAGTATGGAACTCCTAACTGCTTTCCTCTTACCCTTGTAGAATCACACTCGGACATGTTCTTGCATCCGCAATGAAAGTGAGCGCTGGCTACGGCCAATGTACCTTGCTCCACAAGAGCAGGTGAACTGGTAGATGCACATGGATTTTTTCGTATCCAACTTCTAAAAATATCCGAAGCTTTTATCATCCATGAGCTGAAGCCAGAACTATGCCTACAAAAGAAGTGCATCCCATCGTTATCGTTACTTTGGCCTTAATTATTATTATTACTACATTTCCCCCTTTACTTATGCCTCATATTTTCACTATTTTATTCAAAACTGCTGATGATATCACTTTATTTATTCATTATTACACTTCTATGACCCTTAGTTGTAACAAAAACATTTTAATAATCTTACTACACTCACATTATAATTCGTTACTAACTTACTCAAGTCTAGTCTTATTATTTGTATTACGTAATCTAGTATTATGACCTTTTTATAGTTCATGATTTTACTTTGAAACATTTATTATTATTATTATTATTATTATTATTATTATTATTATTATTATTATTATTATTAGTCATAATCTATCGTTTACAATTAACAAATTACTGTATGAAGGATTATTCTAATGACATTCTCACCTTTAATTTAATGTAAACTAATCATTAAAACAAGTAACTTGGTATAAGCGATAAAACTACCTATAGTTTATTGATTTTCTATTAATAGTATACTTGATCACTTCTAAAAATATTCAATCCTGAAGGTAATTGAGCCATTAAAACTTAATTAATCAAGTAATCTCCATTACTACACTTATCTAATGAATTTGTTCATAGAGGGAGGATTGTCTTTAGACATATGTATATCATTATATAGCATATAAATTACTTATGGTAATTGATGTACAAATGCATATGAACAGAATTTTTTCTTAAGAACGACCTTATTTCTATGAAAGTGTAAATAGTTTTTAAAGTTTAGTATAACTACACTTTGATGTATAAAAGATTTATGTGAACTGCATACTAAAATAATGATTTTAAACTTTTTGTTTTGTTTTAGTATTACTGATAATAATTTTGGCGTCTTGTTTGACGTCATAAAGCTCTGTAGATAGTCAATTATCGGGAATAATGCCAGGTGAATTATTAAGTAAATATTATCATAGACTACATGCCCCTAATTTCCTACGGAATTCTTATGTAATTCTAGTGATAAATGTTTAGCAAGAACATAATAGATTTCTTAACTCATGGTTTCGATCATTAAAAATATGAAACATTGATGTTATGAGTATATTGAAGAGTAATTCAAGTAGGATATGCGTAACATTAAATTCGAATTTAATAACCTGGAGGTATCATAGACACTGTTAGATTTAAAAATCCTGAAATCATTTCTATGTAAAGCGATAGATACACTACAGAGGAGTTTAAATCTAGGATGAAATAGCTGTCTAGTAGTTTCTGGTTTTCAATGGTTATTTCACCAAATTCAGTCTCTGTTATGTTAACATGATTTTGTTAGCTTTAGACTTTGAATAAGTGAGAAAACCACGACTATTTGCACATTAACATATACAACATGTTTATTATTAAATATGATTAAGTTTCATCGAATTGTTTTTAAAAATAACATAAACATTTATAATTCTATTCTATATTTCTCATGTATATGTAAACCTTTTTTGACATCAGGTTATTGTATGTGAAATCTATATATTCATTAATTGGTAGACAATGTAAGTTCATTAATATAATTTCATCAGATATATAGGTCATTATATCATTATCGATTTTAATTACATTAGATTATATTAACTGAAGATTGAAATACTTAACACTACAAATAGTTGATAAACAAAGACATTAACATAACATTTTATAAAACGATGAATTAACTCTATTCATTACATTTCACGTTAGCATATAAAGCGAAAATAAATGAAAAAAACAACAACAATGAATTGAAGCTAAAGTGAACAAAATAGATACCAGTTAATAAAAACAATGCCGTATAGTAAAATACAGCCTCTGATGAGGCTATTGTAATAAAATACTTTTGAACTGTAATATAAATTAATTCTTGCCAGATATTTATCCACACTATTTTGATGATTCCTTGTTGGCTACAGCTAAACTATTACGTGATATGTAACTTCAGGAAAAAAAGGTTAATGGTAGAAATTCTGTTGTATTATCTTCAGTGGCTTCTCAGTAAACTGTAGTCAGGGGCGGATCTCTTACTGATATTAATATGAATCAAGTATGTGAGGTAGAGCTTAATGAATAAGGCCTTAGACTTAACCTAATATCTGTAAATAAGACAAAATCATGATGGGGAATAATAAAAATGTCTACTAAATTCTTATTGACTAAGAACTACTATTGTTTACTGTCGAGTATAATGCAACATAACAAAATTGACATAACTTCATAATCTTCAGTACTTGTTATACTTAGATAGTCCCTATTTTAAGTTTGTGACTAAACTAATTTAGAGCTATACTCATAATTGTACAGCATATGTATCTATGATCACATAAATTTTGTCCCCGTATTCTCAAAGTTATTCAATTATATCAAAGTCATGTTATATGGTTTCAGTATTATAATTTTTAATGTCTCATTTATTATTATACTCATTTTATTATCATTATGTGAATTCAGTTGATATGTTCTCGTGAATTACTTTAATGCAATAGCTTGAATTAAGAAAGCAACATTCTTAGGAGATTCAATATTGAGTGTTATATTTCTTTTAACTTCTTTAATTTCACTGGTAAAAAATAAAACAATATGACTAGTTCGTTTGTAATCTAAATATTTAGTCATGTTCCTTCCACACTTATGAATTTGTTTAATAATAGTAATAATAATAATAATAATCTACCTTGCTGTAAAAAAAATGGCTTTGAACTAAGAAATACAATGTGAATTCAATAAAAAAAAAGGTTTTAGTAACATGTTCAAACTGCTTTATTAAACAATTCAGCTACCTATATCAAAAATGATATTAGCTTTTGTAAGTAGTTGATAAATATTAACAAAATGGAAAGTATTATTACTTTTATTATGGTGTATTGATTAAATCCGTTTGTTTATCTAACTAAACTTTCAAATCTAAACAACTTTTTTTGACTGTCTGAAGTTTCTTTTCACGGAAAAAAAAGATTATCATTTAAGAGAATTAATTCTATGTAAAACGATATTTCTTAATGACATAAAAGATGTTTTAGCATAATTAAATCATCGGAAACCGTTAAAGAAGTTTGATAGATATTTAAAACTAACATTTTATATATTTTGAATATTGTAATCAATAGTGATAATACCGTTCCGATAGAAATTGTTACATTAACTTTAGATGTAAACCTCATTGGTTATTCTCACCATTGTTATCAAGTAAAGTAATGTTGTATTTTATTTATATAATCTAATTTGTTTGTTAACTCCGTAAATTACGGTTTCTACGTTAAGCTAGACAAACATAATGTTGAACTTCATCTGAATTGTTCTTAACCATGTTACATTTAAATATACAATCAAAAAGATAATGGAATGTCTTCGTCACTAGTATATGTGTTTTTTTAAACTTCACTCATGAATTTCTTCAATTTTAAGGTAATTGTTATGAGAGACTGAAATCAGCTTGTAAACCATTGGAAACTAGGCAATACTACTCAATTTTCCGTTCTAGGATGAAAAATTTCAACTATACTTATCCGCGAATTTACTCAGTATTGTACTCAGCAACATTAGATTTAGCGGTGAAACAGGAATAAACTGACGTCTACAAAACTGATTTGTACCTGTGATGTTTGGTTAGTGAATTGTTCATCAATCAGTTACAGGCTTAATAAAATATATTAACACTTCCTAGTTTGTGGCCATTCACTGTGGTTTTGATATACTTCATCCTGCCAATTGACTGGAGTTTAACAGGATTTTCTCATACTAGTATTTGAACACTGTCATAAATATAATATTCAATATTTTAACTCATCTTGTATTGGTTACTTGAATCTTCCCATTGATGTTTAGGACTGCATAAGTTCATCCTGTACTGACCGCCTCGATATTGCCTTATGTCACAAGCATTATAATCAGCGATGAATGGTGGCTGGTGAGTCCTAAATGGGACGAAACACGTGTCCACCATCTATCTCTGCTTATAATTCAATATTTTAATACTATACCTTCCTTTTTTAACAAAAAGACATTTATTACCCATAATCTTTGATACTGTTTACTACAAAAGGGCTTTATTTTGGAGCTGCGTTTCAATGGGTTTGTCAAATAAATTGTATAACCTTGTGATACTTCATTTTTATCATGTTAAAAAAAGAAACAAGTCAATAAACAATTATTCAGTATAAACTTACTAAAAGACAATAGAAAATCACGATAAAATGGCGCTTTGAAATTAATCTCCAATGTTGTTAACCATGGTGTAATTCCTGGAAATTTTTCAGAGAATTGATTAGCTTCAGTTAAGAAATTAATAAAAGCACCAATACCAAATATTCCATGTGGATGATAACCAACTAGATAATTATTACTTGTAGGAAATAATTCTTTTATACATGTTAAATTATTTTCATTTGTAGAATAATCTTGTTTATTTATAATTGTTTCAATATACATTTTATCATTTGAATTTTGATCTTCATCATTATGACAATTTTGATTGGTAATAACATTGAGTGTAGTTAATTCAGATGTAGGTTCATTATCTTTATTATTATTATTATTTTGATATAATTCACTTAGAACAAGTTTAATTGGAAAATAACATGCTATATATTTCCATATTATTAAATTTCTAATAAAATATTTTGGATGACTACCTTTCTCTTCGGAACCTTTATCAATATACCAATATATCCAATATACAATAATAATTAAAAATAATGTAATAAATTGACGAAATAAATCATATAATTGTTCATTATGTATAAATTCATATGAATTTTGTAGAATATTATCATTACTAATTAATTTATTACCAATAATATAGAATAATTTAATAAATTTAATAATTAAATAAATCCATAATAACCAACATGATGTTGCACCAAATAAAAACATCATAACAAAACAAGTAACACTTATAAATTGTAACAAAATTTGTTTGAATTGAATGAAATGTGATAAATTTGAAAATAGTTTTATGATACATTTATACATGATGAATTAAAACAAAGAAGAAAGAAATTTAGTCAACTATTTAATAAATTAATAATAATGATTTAAATTATTCTTTTATAAGTAAATGATCACAAATATAACATTTAATCAATTGTACATTCTATTTAATGAATAATAAGGATTGAATAATTGAATTTAAACTATTTGTGCTAGTTTAATTTTGTTTATATATCTTTTTTTTTCTCAAAAATGACAAAATATGATTGGTTAATATTTCGATGAAAGTGTTTGCGTGGGTGGTAGTTTAAAAATAATGATATTGACTACTGATAATAGAGATGTCTGTTTTTTTATTTAAAAAAATAAAATCATCTTTAGTTTGTTCTTTGATATAGACTTGGATAGATAATAATAATTAGAAAGAAATTGGTTTTTGTCTGTTTTGATAACACCCTAAACAGAAGATTTAATGTGTGGAATTTGAAAGTGATACTTTTTTAGTGGCCCGTTGATCTGACTCCAATTAGATCGTATGAGTGTTTGTTATCGGAATATATATGTTGCTTATCCTCGTATATAATCATCGACTTTAATCGCGTTAGTCAATAACGGATTTAGATAAGTCAAATAACGAGAATGGACTTTTGAATACATATATTTTGTATGTGAAGTGAATGGAATAGAGAGAAGAAAAACGACGCGGAGGGGAGAGGGTTGGTAACCCAACTTCCATTTAACCAAGCGTTAATCAATATTTATGGTTACACAAAAGTAAGATACAGACATGTAGTGAGTAATGGGATAAGAAATGTACACACACCTACGCGCTCATATAAAAACACTCAAGATTGATAAGCGAATGATCAACAAGGTCAAAATGTGACTCAAGTAGTATGAGCAGAATGAGCTGGCCGAAAGCTAGAATAAGGTATATGGGCTTAACATAATAACCGACACTACAGTTTATTTAATGAAAATATGATTAGTATTCTATAATTTTAGTTATTCTGAGTAATAAGCTTGTCTTTGTCCATTTCCAAACATTTAATTAATATATTGAAACGGATTATCATAAGCATTCTGATTAAAATGGACTTTTTAGGTCTCGTAGTCATACGTACGCCCTAGGACATATGACTGATTTTTTGTCAAGTTCAAATCATGAAATTATTCAGCTTTCTGTAAACCTTTAACAGATTAAAACTAAATTATCATTACTAGTCATTAGATCTTTATCAAATACCTTCAACCACTATCCGATATTTGATGAATTAATTCCTCAATTTGAAAATTCCTTGTTAATTTCTTTGTTTTAGAGTATATTCTTTCGTTTTCGATCTGTTGTCAATTTGATATATTGATTAAGTACATCTGTTGTAATGACCTATTTCATATACATTGACTAAGATGATTCTCTCTTAATATCTTTCTATACTCTAAAACATCAGTTAAAAAAATATGACCAGAATGGGAGAATGAGATTTTGTGCAATAAACTCTGAATCAAGGGAGAGGGAATATGGAGATTAACATTATATCCCTAAAAAATTGACCGAATTTAGTAAATGGCTTATATAATATTCGTGACAGAAAACTTCTGTTTATTCATATATACAGCAATGTGTAGACAATTATGAACTTAAGCATCCTTTTGTTTACCAAAAATCATTCTAGTATACTGTAACAAAAAAGAACAAATGAAATAACAATTATGATGTTCAGTAGAAGGGTTAATCAACGGTTAAATAATTTATATAGGATGGTTTTACTCAAACCAGTAAGTAGAACTATCACACATTACTAGTTCGGTTTTTTACTAAACTGGTTAATATAAAAACCGGCCATGTAGACATTTTCTAATCGTATACTCTGTGCAGTATATTCAGCTTTTAGCAACACTTTTAGGTACCAAGGTTAGCTACACAGCCCATCTCTCTAGTCCAAAGCAGTTAAGTCAGAGTTCAAACCCCAGTACCAATTTCTGTAAATCTAATGGTTTAGGCATCAAGTCGATTCTTTATAATCAGATGTAAGAATATACGAGACCGTTAATATGAGTTGGAACTGTAAGAAATAGATGAAATTTTGAATATTGTTTACTTTAAAGTCAGAAACTGTTATTTCGAGTTTTAACTGATTTAATTTAAATTCTGGATTGAGCATTTTTAATACATGAGATAAAGTTGAGGATTGATTTTATGATCAAATAGTTTGGTAAAAATTTGATTTAATTAATCAATAAATTGTGTATACAATCAATAGGTTATACTACAAAAACATAAAATTTTCATCAGTGTATAATGTTCCCGATTTCGGGTGCATTTTGCATTTGCACTTGAAAGTACAAATATCGATATACATATAGAATTCAGCCGGAAGTTAGTAAGCTGAGAATTTAAGCCATATATTTTTGAAAATAGAGCTAAGATCACCCTATGTAAACTTGTCTTGGGATCTGAAATCTTTAATTACTCTTCGCACTCTCGGTGTGTAGCGAAGCATGGTACAGAAACCTTTGAATGAGCATTAAGTTACGTTTGATTATCTTCCTGTATCATACACTGAAACCTATATACAATTACTAGTTTTGGTATCGAGTTACTTTTTGCATGGATTATACAATGTCTTGATAATAGTACGTTCTTATCCGTCCTATAAACTAGTCTAATGATTGCAGTCTTTCTCATACGTTGACTGAATACAGTTATTGTACTACATCCACTTCTAGAGATCCTTATAAATATTTTTGAACAGTAATTTATCCGACGGTGCTTCTCATTTGTTTCATACTCCTGTAATCGATTTTCAGGCTGTTCAGTTACTAAATCTGTCATATCTCAGACTGTAACTCGTTAAAAAGAATTTCTGAAATTTCGCGTTTCCATTTCCAAATCGAGTTGAATATCCATTCGTTGTTTCACACCAGATCCTTAGAAACTCACCTTTCGAAAGTAATTTCAATGAATAATCATCGAGTATGTAGCTTCAAGGATCGGAAATGGTGATTTCATTTCAAATAATAAACAGTATAGAATTGTGAAGCTGACTTCCTAAAATCCTTAGATAATAACTACGAATTTAATTATTTCCACAAACAAGAATAGCAAGATTCACTACAAATACAGTTGTTAATTTTGAAAGAAATATCCCTTAGCTCAATATTTACGGAATAAATCCGGTTATTGATTTGGCATTTCAGAATAATCTTATACCAACTTAAAGAATAACCCCTCAAGGTACCAAATAATCTTACTATTATGTGTTATGTATTTGTTTAATGATCAACTACGATCGGTTATGTCATGAACAAACCGACCCTAAACATCAATGAGGAGGTTCAAGCAAACAATACAAAATTAGTTAAAACTTCACCCCATTGTACTAGCTAGCGTCTGTGAGGACTCAATAGGAAAGTGGATGGAGTCTGAGACAGACGGGACTGGGTCCGGGTCCCGAAGTGAACATAAACTCAGACACGAGTACATCCAGCTGGCGAATCTCAAAGAGGACGAAACTCAAGTTCTGGATTCCACTGCTAGCCACAACCCATCTTTGACCCACAATTCAGTATTCGTTTTTGTTAAATGTTTTGACAACTCATGTTTAAAAATAATTATTACATACAACACAACCAAATCGAGTATTTCGTATTGGACAAATATTTCAAATAAATTACTCGACATAGTTTACTGATAAAACTCCAGTGTAGTGTGAATGCTATCAAGTGATTTTTTAGTTCTGTATGAGTTCAGTGGTGTCTGTTTTTAGGTTTAGTAATGAAACATCGGTAAACCATGTACAACATCTATTTTCTCACTGTCAGGACTCCTCAATAATATCTTTAAACATGTATGCCTATAGTCAACATCAGTACATTTTATCACTGAACTGAAATACATTCAGGAGAATCAACTTAAGAAATCCATAGCTTCCTAAAAAGGACCAAGCACACCATCTCTAGAACTAATAAAATAACATTGTGAAGAAATAGCCATCCTTCCCTTAACACGTAAGTTATAAATCATTGATTTCACAGTTAACTTTTATTTTTGTGATAGTAGTAAGAAGTTTTAGTAACTTTCAGGTACCTTCTTTTGGTAAGTAATGGTGAAGTGGTTATTTTATAGGATATACATTGTAATTTACAGATTTATCCCGGCAATAAGTGAAAAAATATGCGAAGGCTAGACAAGGTGTTCACTAAAATTTTGGAGTGATCTCCCTAATTGACATATTGAGAAAACGTATTACTCAGACGTCATTTAACGTTAATGATGGACGACAAAGATAGGTAAATACTATATTGTCAAAGGAATCTAACAGTATAAATTTTCATTACGAGTTAGGGCAAATAACGTTATCAGTATGCCATACACTATTCAAGTTGTTGAATCATCCCAATGAAAAAGCTTGCAATACATGGGTAAAAATCTTCCTCCTGGTAATCGACTGAATCATGAAGACATCAACATCTGGGGGGAAGCATGGGATACAGTGTACAGCTAAGATGCAGCTGGACGATCTAGACTTCGCAGATGATGTGGCTTTTCTATCACACACACAACAACAAATGCAAGAGAAGATGACCAGTGCAGCAACAGCCTCAGCAGCAGTAGGTCTCAATATACACAAAGGGAAAAGCAAGATTCTCCGATACAACACAACATGCACCAATCAAACCAAACTCGACGGAGAAGATTTGGAAGATGTAAAAACCTTTACATATCTGATGAGCATCATTGATGAACTCGGTGGATCTGATGCAGATGTGAAGGCGCGGATCGGCAAAGCAAGAATTGTATATTAACAACTGAAGAACATTTGGAACTAAAAACAACTGTCAACCAACACCAAAGTCAGGATTTTCAATACAAATGTCAAGACAGTTCTACTGTATGGGGCGGAAACCTGGAGAACTACAAAAGCCATCATCCAGAAGATACATGTGTTTATTAACAGTTGTCTACGCAAAATACTTCGGATCCGACACTATCAGCAACAACCTGCTGTGGGATAAAACAAACCAGACTCCAGTGGGGGAAGAAATTAAGATAAGCGTCGAAGTGGATAGGATACACATTGAGAAAAGCACCCAACTGAGTCATAAGGCATCATCAAAGCCGAATGAGAAGAGTAAGACGAAAGAACATATGACGCCGAGAAATGGAGACAGACTTGAGATGAATGAACAATAATTGGATAGAACTAGAAAGGAATGCGCAGGACAGAGTTGGTTGTAGAATGCTAGTCGGTGACCGTTGCTCCATTGGGAGTTACAGGAGTAAGTAAGTAAGTAAGTAACATGGTTAAAAAAGGTGTCCTATAAACCTTTTCATTTGATGACAAAATAAAAACGACTTACGTTTAATTGTGCATATCAATCAACAAAAAATACAAAGCAGTAATTTCAAATTGAATGGTTGACTTTAAAGAATTCAGTTTCAGGATTAAAAAAAATAATAACACAATACTATTGAATGTTAGTAGAATTTATAACACAATAAATATAATTAATTTCAATAAAATAACAAAGTCATAATGATGATATCAAAACTTACTAAGCTTTAAATAAAACCAACTTAGATGATGGTTGGAGGTAGTCGACAGGAAACCCTGGACCCGGGTTTCGTGCTACATGGTACTCGTCAGCAAAGTGTACCTGTAATCTTGAGGGAACTGGTGCTCCCTGGCGGATTTGATCTCGTGTCACCCAACTTCACAGTGAGAGACGTCACCACTGAGCTATCCGAGTCGCGACCGATCTCCTGTAGGACTGAGATGTAATCACAATTGATTGATCACTGGGTGGTGATCAATGTCATGTCTGTCAAGTCCTTATTTAGTGCAAATCGAATGCTATCGACTATGTTGCAATGTGGCCACCAGTCTAGGTGAGTCGACACTGCGTCCACTTTATATTGAGATTAGATGGTGGTTGGAGGTAGTCGACAAGAAACCCTGGACCATTATACATTATACAATCACAATTATATGTGAGATAAATTCTAAACACAGATTGGTTGTTTTATTTACACATATTCACATAAACATAAGTTTTAGTAAAAAAAATAATAATAATAATTCAAAAATTAATATTTTTTCTAATAAATAAATCAAATGATCAAGTCCATAGTTTAATTGAACTTTATTTAACATTCAGTCTATTTTATTCACCTCATACTAAATTATAGTTTATTTATATGAATTGATTGAATGTTATATTATTTATGAAATTTATTTTCAATATCCTACATTCGTTTATTGTAAGTAACAGATTTGAAATAAGGAATATCTAGAAAATTCTATTACAAAAAAATTAACCAACAGTACACCATTTGTATCGTAGTTTGTTTAAATTGACTTTAATTAAATTAAAGTTGTAATTTATTATTTTTTATTTATTTTTAATATTCATTGCCATTTCATTACATTGTGTTTATTAAAGTTTTAACGATAAAAAACAAACAAACAAACCAACAAAAGATACTTACAAATCTTGATTAATTACATATCATATCTATTATAAAAATTAAGGAAATCATTATCGTTGAAGAAACTAGAAATAATCTATTACTTCATTTTCAATGAATATGCTGATCAATTTGACGTCTTCTTCCTCTTCTCCTTCTTCTTCTTCTTCTTCTAATGATTATATTAATGATGTCAAATTAAATGATAATGGTGAAGTGATCTTAAAACGTCGTGAATATTCAAATACTAAATGTTTATATTATTTATTTACTGAATTCATTCAAAATACAACTGTTTATCTATATGTCATGACATTTTTATTTTCTGGTTTATTTTGTTTATCTATATTATTCATTATAAGTTATATAATAATTATTAATTTAATCATTATTCTATTAAATACTTTCAATATATATATCATCAATAATTATAAATTATCAATAATCAATATAAATTCAATAAATGAATTTCAATATTCAATTATTATTATTTTATTTATTCTATATATAATTTATTGGTTATGGGATTGGAATTCAGAAAATCATGGTGGACATCCAAAACAATTTATACGTTATTTAAAAATATGGGAATATTTAGCCGATTATTTTCCAATACATTTAGTAATTAGTAAAGAATTTATTAAATTTAATAAAATTCATAATCATCATCATATTAAACATCATTCTTATTTTATCAATTCTATTATGAATAATGAAGATTATAAAAATGATGATGATTTTGATAATGAATTAATGAAAGAAAATTTATCTATGAATGTTAATTATTTGGTTGGATTTCATCCACATGGAATACTTGCTACAGGAGCATTTATTAATTTTGCTACAGAAGCTACTGGTTTTTCAAAAGTATTTCCTAGATTTAAGCCATATTTAGCTATATTAAAAGCTCATTTTATAGCACCATTTTATCGAGATTTTCTAATGTTATTCGGTAAGTATCTTTTTACTATTATTATTATTATTATTATTATTATTATTATTATTTTGAGTGATAACTTGAATTGCTATATGTTGTAATTATTTTTTATGATGTTTCGAAACACTGTTTAACTGCATCATGCGTTTGATAACATTACACAGGAAGTCTTGAATCTTTTCCATGTTTACCGGTGTACATCAGAATATTGCACTACAAAACTTGAAAAATCTGATGCTTCAAGAATTTGAATATGTCATTCGGAATGTGGCCATAGTAAATAAGTTAGTTTATTGATTTTTAATAGTGAACATCAAAATTATCAATGTCGATTTCATGTATCTAAGTACTATTGGAAACAAAAAATGAAGAGAAATAAATACAATAAAACGACATAAAGAAGAAAAGCAATGCTTATTCTGTATAAATTATCGGTAAATTATTATATTATATTATATTTTTTTAGTTGATACACTGAATTATAAATCCATTTGGACTTTTTAGGTATTAAGAATTGATTTCTAGTCAAAAACAAGTGCTCATGAGAAAACTGGTACCATGTGAATATATACATCATACTATTCCTTAAGGATAAAACCCAATCTTTACATTTAAGCAACAGTATTTTGTAAGCAGGATTTAAATAACAGAATGAACGTGCGAACTAAAAGTTTTGTTCTCAAGTACTTTCATTATATATATAATGCTAATTTGAATAGTTGAAAAAATTTTAAAAAATGTGCTGTTCAGTTATCTTTTCGAAGTTGTCTGTATTTATTGAATGTTGGTCTGTGCCAAAATAAAATTACCAAATTATTTAAAACAATCATAAGTTTATACACTTGTAGTACACTGTACATAATAACAAATTTTGATTTGAATGTATTTCTCATTTTTTGGTGAAACATTTAAAGAAAGAAAGGATTGAAAAGTTACTTCATCTTAGTCCGGAATTCTTTATTAATATCCATTAATGATTTCACACGCAATTTAGCGTAATAAGAAAGAAACTTTGACATCACTGAATTTGACAGGTTGACCACGCAGTTGTTTGTGTTTTCTTCCATGGATGATTTCGAAATCTTGATTAGTTTCGTCTTTAGGGTGTCTCTTCTTTGTTCTCTGTGTTGTTTGCATAATATCTTCATGGCTGTTGTCAAGATTCCCAAATGTTGTGACGTGAGTGTCCTTTGTAGCTTCAGTTTTTGGTCCTCTATTACGTGTTGGTATTCTGGGGATCCTGTAATGTGTATCCGTTATCATTAGGTGTACCATTTTTCTTCCACTTTGCTCAGCTACTCTACACCACAATGGGAAGTTGATTGGAGGTCTGTATCTTACACTTGTTGGTAGAACATTCAGGCTACCATATCAATGAATTAAAATTTAATAGACCACAACCATAAAATGCTTCAATTTATTATGTAGCTATTGAGAGCTGTTTAGTTCCTTCAAACGATGTCAATTTATTAATATGATTACCTTCAAAACTTGATGACATCTTTAAAAAATAAATGATGGTATGTAGACATGATATTTATTATTTTGTTCAAAGTTTAAATGTTTTTTTATTGTTGTTATACGAATGTTACATTTTCGTACGATGTATCTTTCAAGTACTTTAATTTTAAACGTATAAATTAGGATCAAAGATATGTAATTTTTGAGGTCCCACAGAAACACATTAGATAGGTATTACATAACAGTTAAATATTGTTTTAATATCTAACACATTCTGTAAATGTCCAAAGTATTACCTCGCTTTTTAATGTTCTGAGTAAATTTACTATGTTGCTAGTAATCTTAATGTTTCTATTCTAGTCTGATTTTCTATTAAACTGTTTTATGATTAATTAAACTGTGATTTTCTATGAGAAAAAGATTAGCAATTTCCTTAATAGGTTGAGTTTGTGCTTTGTATGGTTGGATTAATTTTCATTGTTCTAATATTTAGAATAAATTTATATCATACTAATTAATGTTTTCCTTTATATAAGAATAAACTACCTTATCTGAAATTCATCAATATATAGTGTTAAGATATATGAAAGCTTATAGAGATTGAATGAAGTTTAAAATATAGTTTTTATCATGACATTTAGAATGTATTGAATATACCTTTGTTTTTGTTATCATCACTCCTTCAATTGAAACTAGAAATAAACTCAAAAAAGAATTGATTAAAGAGACAAATAATATTAGGTTAATTGGTTTAGAAACTATTTCCGATCAGTCAGGAACTCTTACTTTCTAGATCTAGTTAAAAGATGGTTATTATGTTCTTACTGATAAGGATTTACTAAGTAGAATACATAGCTATTCACTACTGTTTTATATTTAATGATAATGTCATATGGAGAAATCGTATCCTTAAATTTAGTAAATTGATTTATAAGCATTTTAATGAGAAAAATGTAAGTGGAAGGTTAACAGTTCGTTTGATAAGTGACTTGTAAACAAAATTTTAGAGTGAAAATTTGTTAGTAATAGTGGCTTAAATAGTGGTTTACAGGACTAAGGTAAACATTTCATGCACAGTTATTAATAAACTTGATTGAACCTTTGTTTAAAATATCATAAGGTCAGTATATATATCGAATCATTTCCTGTCATTCATGTTTATTTCACCACTAAATATGTTTAGCACATTTTAAATAAACATATATGTTTCAACAAATAGTTTTTATAAACAAAACAATGTTTAGCCAACTATTTTCAATTACATTATAAAATAAGTTAATAATGATGGTGATTTCAACCAACAAGTTAGAGAACCAAGAAATCTGTTTATTGAAACGCTAAAAAATATCAGACGATAAACTATTCATTTATTGTCTGTTTTTATTACTATAGATGGATTAATGGGTATCTGGTCTCAGTAGCTTAATAGATGACTCAACGTTTGAAGCGAAAGGTACTCGGTTCGATTCTTAGTGTGATCCTAAACATGGAGATCCAGACATATACAGCTTACAAGTACCGAATAGAACAAAACGTGTATCGTTGACCATAATCCTGTCCATAATTTATCTATCCTAAAATTGGTAACAAAGTGGCTATTTCGAGGCAATCCGCTCAGAAAATGGGTCTAGAATATTATCAACGGAATAATTCAAAACCTATCCAATAAAAATGCGCCTATTAGCGTCGAAGTTAATGGCAGTTTGTGAACACAAACTGAAATATATCTTTTAAAATAATAAGGTTTTGTGGAGATCGCAGTAATTTCAATAGTTGAGATTATGACTCGTTTGAAGCTAGACCACCATAGGAAACCTGGAAGCACTGGACGGCCATTTCGTCCTATTGTGGGACTCCTCAGCGATGGGCATCCATGGCCCCGCCTCGCAGGATTCGAACCCAGGGTCAATCAGTCTCGCGAGTGGGCGCTTAACCACTAGACCACTGAGCCTGTCGGCATCCAACGGTGATAATGTCTAACTTCAACTAATCCACGAAATTGAGTGACACATCCACCATTGTCATCAGTGAGTTCCCGCCTGACAACTGACACGGTTGAACTCCACCGGTCAATGCTTCTCACTAGAATTATAGGATATACCTCTTGAAGCCAGTCACTAGTAAGCACATGTTGATTGTTATCAGAAGGGGTTTTGTAGAGATTTCAGTAATTTCAATAGTTGAGATCATGATTCAATTGAAGCTATAGATTTAGAAAGGATTACCTTGAACTTTAAACATAGTGACTAATTCAGTAGAATAACTATCCCTAAGTTAAATAGAAACCTTTTCGTAAATTCAAGTATTAAAAATATATTTTATGAAGATTGATAAATGTCTATACGGTAAACAGATTATGATTTGATTGCTCATTCGTTTTGAAAATAAATCCGAAATTCATCATCCAAGTCTAATGTTCCATTGATAACTCTACTAAGATGAAAAGTCATTTTTTTTATTAATCATAGTCAAGATCGGCAACAAATTATACTGTCAAATAGTAAATGTTAATATCGTGAAAAAACGGCTGGGAGGCATCTAAGAGTAAAGACTTACTCATGAATTAAAAGATTAGAAATCATTAGATGGTCCCTCATGTATAAAGTGTTTTAGTATCCGACATCAAATAAACTATGCACTACAACACACACGTTGTAGTGTCATGGCTTATTCACTATAGATAAATTTTGTTACGTCATTTTAATTAGAAAACTGTTTTTTGAAAGAGAAAAATAACTATGATCCAATGGTAAATTCCTGGGAGATTTTAAGAAAGAGGAATATTTTTAAAAATTTTAATTTCAGCACTCGAAAACAGTTTCCTTAACTTCGCGTGATTAATTGAATCACATCGTTATTTTTATTCTTCGATTTTAGATAACCCAGTTTCATCGTAACACCTGGTCGTCTATATACACATTTATAATTTGTGAACAACTTTTGCCGTTTAGATGCTTTTATCGTAGATTTGAGAATCTTCTACCTGATTACACATAAATTACATTTGGTTTCAGGTACTAAGCTTAAATATTTCCTTATGTATTTTATTTGATGTCATAATTGTAGCACAGCCCTTGGAATGTGGTTTTTTCTTCAACGGTATTAAATTGTTATGGACTTAATAATAGTGATAGCTTTTGTAATTTCAAGTTATCCTTAGATAATTAGAGGCCATAAGATTAATGTGTCGGTAAAAATAAACATATTTCTTGTTCGTTTATTTTTTGGGCTCGTACAATTGGACTGTAAGACAAGGGAGCTATTGTATACATATAGTCTGAGTATCGATTAGTTCGGTAGGAAGAAATACAATATACCTACAGTAAATATCTTTAAGAACCTAATATCATAATTTTACACAAGTTTGTGTAGCCCAGTTTTGAACTCCAAGGACGATTTGTTTGGGGAGTATTTGCTCTTGATTAGCACTTACCGTACTTTGGTTTTGATAGTTTTTCGAACATCATTCTTTTTGTCAAAGAAATAAATCTTGTCAGGTAATGACGTTAGCTTTAGAGAAAGATATAATCAATTTCACTGAAATCATGAACCGA